TTTTTTTTAAATAAAATCTTTCTACTACATCTGTAGTTTTTGAACTTATGTAGATCATAAATAGATAGTGAACTATAGATGTTGCCAGCATATAGCAAACTTCATTACACACTATCACATTAACCCAAAACCTTAATTTATATATAAAAGCCAATTAGTCTCATTATACTAATTATAGTATATGAAATTTCTTTAATGTCATTACAAGTTGTCAATGGTAGTTTCTTTGACTTAGTTGTTATATAAATCAATGTTACACATAAAGATCCACCAGCAATATACACAACCACAAGCAATCCTGGCCAAGATCTTTTACAGAGTTATGGCGGTAATAAATAAAGGAGTGGTTTGAGGCTGCATTGCAAGGGATGAACCACACTAAATTACCAAACTCCAACTTCTAAGTTTATAATCCTCAGGTTGTGGAAGAATAGTGGTGTCAATTATACTCTTCTGTCAATTTAAGTTAGTGATTTTAAGTTGATGAGGGCTTTTCTATTGTCAACTTCTAATAACAAATATGCCTAGGTGTAAGGCAATTGCAATTAGTATTGGGCACTTTCTCCATAATCAAGTGGTATTCTAGTATTCAAATGAGGATGCTGATACTCTCCTATATTTATGGTCTAAGCATTTCATGTTTTACATCTTGACATTTTGACATTTATATACTACACAACTATTTATGATTCATAAACACAGCTTTCAAGAAGATAATTTCAAAATACTGATAATCTAATATTATAAGTAGAGTTATATTTTTTAGCCTTACTCTTTGAATATTTTCTTAACCTCATGTTGGGAGGAATCCTGATATATATACTGATGAGGATTATAATTCACCCATATATTAAATATAAGAGAATGTCAAAAGTGTAAGTAACTAAAGAGAAGAATTTGAGAGATGATCTATTATGTGGTTAAGTTTACATGAGTTCAACTTTTCTTTTTAGAAATGGTGCATATATAAATGAAAAAGGATAAAACTAAATTGCACTTTATGGTTCTTTGGAATGGAACAATAACAGTTCATAATAATACATCTAAGAAACAAAAGCAAAATTAGGCAGAGTGATGCCCTTTATATATCACTATCTATCTTTGAGCAGCTAGAGACAGCTTGCCCTAGGGCAGGAGTGTAACCGGGTTGACACACAATTCTGAAGTTAATTATATTGAATAAATAACATCTAGATTAAAAACATAGAATTTCTTTCTTTCTTTTAATTATATCAAATAAACATATAGATCCAGAATTTCGTATAGCTAAACAAACCCTTCCATACATATTGCAATTTGAACAAAGCATTTTTGTTGACCATACAATGTTTTTAATACCTTGTATAACAGCATTTCCACTTGATTTTATTTGCAAATAACAATTAGTGTCTTTACTTCTTGTAAAACTCTCCCAGATTACTTTTTTTGGTAAATACTTTTTATCATATAATTTAAGGTCACAATTCGATTCCATTGTCATTATATATCTGTTATTTAAGGAATGCAAACTATTCCCTTCAGGGAGATAAGTTCCAAAAAACTGATCAGGACCACTTATAAGTTGATAAGTATAAGGCCAACAAGTATTTGACCCAATATCAAAATTATTACTTATTATATGGGGCAAAATGAGTGGGGGATCAGTATGAGGATCTCTTGTAGCTTCTCCATTATTTATATATTCAAGCTCATAATTTTCAGAAGTAATAGTAAGATGACCCCATGCATTTAATAATGCTTCTCTTATAAATGTTGAATATAATTCTTGTATTCCTTTATATAATTGCTTACTAGTAATTTGGATGACGGAATCAGGATCCATAGAACAAGTATGATAACCCGCAGCTGATTCACTAAATGTACGAATAATAATTTTTGTATTAGGAACATTTTCAATATCACTCATACCCATTGCACCTAATTCATAATTCTCATTTCCATTGTATAATCCCTCAAGTAGCGCAACAACAGTGTTTATGATAGTTCTAATATGAGAATCAGAAAGATGACCGTGCTTATTACAAACTCTAACAAACTGAGACTGAAGATTATCACATAAAATCAGAAATACAATAAGAACAAATATCCATTTCCACTTCATCATCAACAGACAATTATTTACTTGTAAGCAATTATAAAAGCCAAAAAGCATAGAATCCTTTTATGTCATTTTGCCGTCTAGCAACAACTATACTATTGGGGAGATGGCGGCCAGATGGCAATCCACAAAGTCTATCTTTCTTAACCACAGCACAATGCTCCCGAAAATTATATCTCCTCGCTCAAGAATGGCTGTTGTATAGATTGGACACTGCCACATATAGAGATCCATCACTACCACTCAGCCACGAGCACTTCCAGCAGCAGCTCCACTCTTATGGGTTTTGCATGCATCCAGAAGCGCCATCCGCACCTGCGACCATCTTGAATGGCATGCTTGTCCGCCACACTTGTAGTGCTCCGCCGCCAGATGTATCCTGTGATCGCATCTCATCGCCATGAAGCACTCCCAGAAGAAACCCCGAGTAGCTGCACGCCCCAGGGATGTTCGTGAAGGCCACCGCATCAAGATGGATCCCCTTCCAAGAACAGCTCTCCATCGCCTGCCAGCCATGCCGGTGCTAGGCATAGATTGCAATCCAGGAGATCTTGTCCTTGATCCGATCAAACAGGCGATCACATCCCCAAACCATGCGTAGAGATTGACGAGTGTCGTGCCGACGTTCCGGTCCAGACCGGACTGGATCGCCTCGTCGCGAACGAGTGCGCCAGAAGCCAGATCGTGCAAGCGGCGAGAGAGTGGAAGTGGCTCTGGGATTCATTTTGGGCTTCACTGTATTCCAAGTTTAATTTCTATGTCAATTGTATTTGTAAGTGTTAATTAAAAACACTGAAGTATTTTCTTTCTTTTAATTATATCAAATAAACATATAGATCCAGAATTTAGTATAGCTAAACAAACCCTTCCATACATATTGCAATTTGAACAAAGCTTTTTTGTTGACCATACAATGTTTTTAATACCTTGTATAACAGCATTTCCGCTTGTTTTTATTTGCAAATAACAATTAGTGTCTTTATTTCTTGTAAAACTTTCCCATAATACTTTTCTTGGTAAATAATTTTTATCATATAATTTAAGGTCACAATTTGATTCCATTGTCAATATATATCTGTGATTTAAAGAATGCAAACTATTCCCTTCAGGGAGATAAGTTCCAAAAAACTGATCAGGACCACTTATCTATAATAATAAGAACGAAGAACCCACACCCCCGCAGCCGTCCGATCCCGGGCCTCTATAATAATAAGAACGAAGAACCCACACCCCCGCAGCCGTCCGATCCCGGGCCCGGGGCAGCCTCGGAAGCCATGGTCCTCGGGAAGGGGAGGCCAGCCTAGGCTCGGGCCATGGCCAATGGCCATGGTTAGCGGGAATATGGGCTTAATGTTGTGGCGGCCAATGGGTGGGATGCACGTGTGGCCAGGAAGGGAAGAGGGCGTGGTGACAGGTGTTATGCCATGCACTCCTAGGGTTCCATGGCTGCTCGGTTGTGTGGGCATTCCTGTGAGAGCCTGTGCGTGGTTAGTAACAGGGGCGAGCAGAATGGTAGTCGGGCACACAATCCAGGCTCCTCTCGGGATCAACTCAGGACTGTGAGAGGCAAATTGGCTCATCTCCAACTCAGCAAAGCTTTGATCCCTGTTCGCCACTGCCTCACGAGCTCTTTGGCCTACAGGAAAGCAATTATCAAGGACACTCCCTCTTCATTCCCGAGACTTGGGTCACAGTCGAGCCCCGTGCCGATGCGTTTGTCATCAGCATCGGTGACACATTCCAGGTAAACAGAGCGAGAATTCTTTTGTTTCTGCTCTTCCCTCTCCTCTCCCTCCTCGCAGCGCTATAGCTGGTTGTAGATGGTGGTGCTCTTCTTTTTTCCTTTTCTTTTTATAAAACATCTCTCACGCAGCTTTCTCTTCGTCACAGGCACTGTGCAACCATCGCTACAAGAGTGCCAAGCACCGCGCAGTGATCCATGCCACCCGAGCCAGGCACTCGCTGGTTTTCTTCATCAACCCGGGGCTGGACATGGTGATCCGGCCGATTCCAGAGCTGGTGGTCAAGAGCAAAGAAGACGAAGAGCAAGATCGCAAGAGGCCGTGCGTGGAGTTTACTTGGGGGCAGCTGCTAGAATTCACCCAGAAGCACTATAGAACCGATGTCCACACGCCGGACGCGTTTGAGAGCTACTTGAGGAAAACGAGCCAAGCAGCGTGAGGACGGACAGGGAAGAACGAATGTAAATTTGCCAAAGATCATCGAGCAGAGGAGGAGCCTACAGGAAAGCAATTATCAAGGACACTCCCTCTTCAACCCCGGATTCTCTCGAGGCATCCCTTCCTGGTGAGGGATTGTTGTTTCAGCACATGCTCGGGACCAACTCCGTTTGTAGGAACCAGGTGTTTCGAGTTGACGTAGGGCTGTCGAGTGGCTAGCCAACACTGCTCCTGAAGTTTTGGAAATCTGACACGGCACTAATGTCTGGTTTCTCTCGAAAGAGAAGGAGAAGCCACCGCAAGCATCGCCTGGTTTAGCTTCGTTTTTAGATCGAGGTAAGTCGTCAGTTTGAATATCTTTGTATTCTATGATGTGTAGCAAGTGTTGGGAAAGGATGGGAAAGCTGGCATCAATCGGTTTGTTGCAGTAGCCCATGGATAAAACTGTAGTTCGTGGATAGATGTATGACATTATAGTCAGCATTCCAGAATCAATCCTAAGATAAATTTGTTTAGAATGATCATGTTAAAATAAATGGTGGCGCAGTTGGTCAGCGCGTAGGTCTCATAGCTGCTGAGAAATCCTGAGGTCGAGAGTTTGAGCCTCTCTCATCCCATTGTTTTCAAGTTTGGTCTGAAAAGAAACTTGGATCATTAATGACATGTTAAGTTCAAACAAAAACTAACAAAATTCACCTACATTGTCCAGAGTTTAATCAAGCCTGCAAATGATGGAACTGGCTGAGGAGAAAAGGAGTTGTTTCCAACGCTTCTGTTATGCATACACACATGCATCAGGTCAACTCCAAATTAAGAAGAAATATTACATTAGTTGGAGAGCTCTCAACCCGCTTAGATCAGGTAACGTTCCAGTAAAAGCGTTATCATTGATGTGTCTGTAAATGAAACAAAACTTGAGTACAAAGTAGTTACCATATTAGCTATTTACATTTCAAAGAGGGTTGATATCCGCCCCAAACTGCTCAGCAGTGATCCAGCAAATCGATTTTTGTCAAGTCTCCTGAAAATACACTATTACACGAGATTGTATTCTAGCCATCAACGGCTTACATGATGGTCAGCTTGGAAAAGTTTCCAATTTCATCGGGAACTTCTCCAGAGAAGCCATTATTGTCCAGTAACCTGAAGGACAACAGGTCCAAAAACCTCCAAGAAAATGAGAAAGATACATAAAAGTGCTTGAGTTCAGGTAAGAAACATATTTCTGGCGCATCCACCTCTTTGTAAACCACCCAGCATTTGCTAGGCAAGTACTTTCACTTTACAAGCAAAATAAGAACTCTAATTTTAAAACAAATATTAGACACTATAATAGTGCTCTTGCTTTTGCATCTATGTCTTCTAATATTGATATTGTAAAGGGTCATGGTCCTTATTGCTTTAAAAGCCATGGTCAAATATATCATAATATTGTTTCAGCACATCCTTCTGAAGGTCAACATCGAACTTATGGACAACTTTATATGCTTGATACTCTAGAAGCTACAAATATAAGAAAGCAAAACCCTTTTAATTCAAGTTGTGAGACAAACTTACTTAAACATCTTGATGCTCTCCTTCGTCATGTTAACCCATATGCTCAAGCTTTCAAAATGATGTATGAAATGGAACAAGAAGAAATTCGTTCTGCTACGCTTTCAGGTTATCCTATACGTGGTGTTTACATGTTATTAAAAACTGAAGGAACTGATCCACGATGCTATAATGCTCCACGGACAAATGATGTTGCTGTTGTATTTGTTAGTGATGATGGAGAACCGCCACATAGTCGTGAAATTTGTATATATCCAATTGCAAGCAATTCTAAATGTATCTCAACACTTGATTATAATTGTGATCCAATGGTTTACCCATTAATATTTCCTTTTGGTGATAGAGGTTGGCATGAAAAAATTTTTAATTCCAGACGTCGAATTACATTGCTCCAATATTATGCATACCGTTTATCTATAAGAGACACAATACGCTTTGGTTTTGATCAAATTTTACATGCAGGAAAACTCACACAACAGTATATTGTCGATGCTTATGTAAAAGTTGAAAGCAATAATTTGAATTACTATCGCACCCATCAAAAACAATTGCGAGTTGAAATGTATACTGGTCTTATGGATTATGTTGCAAACCGTGCTACTAATGAAAATATAAATCCAGGCAAGATTGTTATTTTACCTTCAAGTTTTGGGGGTGGCCCTAGAGCAATGCAACAAAATTATCAAGATGCAATGGCTATAGTTACTCATTTTTCAAAGCCAGATCTTTTCATTACTTTTACATGCAATCCCAAATGGCCAAAAATTTCTAAAAACTTACATCCAAATGAAAGCCCTGAGGATCGTCCAGACTTGGTTTCTAGAGTATTTCATATCAAGCTTAAAGAATTTTTGAATGATATTACTAAAAATCATATTTTTGGAAATTGTATTGCTTTTATAAATGTAATTGAATTTCAAAAGAGAGGCCTTCCACATTGTCACTTTCTAGGGATTTTATCTCATGAAAACAAGATTAAAGACCGTGATGCTATTGACCAATACATAACGGCACAATTGCTTGATCCTCAAAAGGAACCTGAAATTTCTAAAATAATTACATCTCATATGATACATGGTCCATGTGGGCCTCTTTACTCTAATAGTCTTTGCATGGAAAATGGCACTTGCTCAAAAGGTTATCCAAAAAAATTTAATTATGAAACTACTTTTAGTGTTGATGGATATCCAGATTATTATAGACCTGATAATGGCCGCACATTTCTAAAAAATGGGTGTTATATTGATAATCGTTGGGTAGTACCTTATAATAAATACCTTTGTAAAAAATATAATGCTCATATTAATATTGAAATTTGTGCTACTATAAAAAGTATTAAGTATTTATTTCAATATGTTTATAAAGGTTATGATTGTGCTACAATTGAAATCCATTCAGCAACCCAACAACTTGATAATATTTTAAATTGGGATGAAATCTCAACATTTTTAAATACACGTTATGTATCTGCTCCAGAAGCAATATGGAGACTTTTTAAATTTAAAATGCATGGTCGTTCGACCCCTATAATCTGTCTTCCTATCCATCTTCCAAATTTTCAAAACGTCTATTTTATAGAAGGTTCTGAACAAATAGCACTTCAAAGAGCTACTCAAAATGGTACGATGTTGACAAAATAGTTTGAATTAAATATAAATGACCCAAATGCTAGACAATATACATATCCTGAAATCCCTTTATATTATACATTTAACCCTTATACTCATAACTGGCAAATTCGACATACAAGAAATGTCATTCCTCGAATGTATTCTGTGTCGCCATCTAATGTTGAACTATATCATTTACGTCTTATTTTACTCCATAAAAAAGGTGCTACATCTTTCAAAGATCTTAAGATAGTTAACAATATTTATTATGACACATTTCAACAAGTTGCAGATGCAATGGGGCTTATAGCTGATGATACCGAATGGGAAAAATGTTTAGAAGATGCTTGCTTTTTTAGAATGCCATCACAATTAAGACAATTATTTATATTACTTTGTATCTTTTGCACTCCAAAAGATCCTTACCTCCTGTGGGATAAATTTAAAGACTTCCTCTCTGAGGATTTCATGCAAACAAATCCAATTTTTCATTATGAACATGCTTTACATGATATAAATATTAAAATGAAAATGCATGGCAAAACTAATCAAAACTATCATCTACCTATGCCGTCTGAAAATTTTGATGATGAAAATATTGTCAACTCAACACAAATATATCAAAATGTTGAACAAAATATTCCTCGATTTAATCAAGAACAGTTAAATATTTTTAATGATATTCTTAATGTTATTGATCACCCAACTGAGCATAATCGATATATTTTCATTGATGGTCCTGGTGGTACTGGTAAAACATTTCTTCTTAACACTCTTATAAATATTTTACAACTGAAAAAAATAAATGTTGTTAGCATGGCTTGGACAGGAATTGCAAGTACTTTACTTTATAATGGCCGAACTTCACATACTACTTTTAAACTTCCTGTTCCAATAAATGAAACATCAACTTCCGCTATAACTGCTAATAGTGAAGCAGGTATAAGAATCAAAACTACTAACGTATTGTTATGGGATGAAATAAGTATGGTTCACACTCATGCATTCACTGCTGTTGATCGAGTGTTGCGAGACCTAAAAAATACATCATTACCTTTTGGTGGCATAATTGTTATTACTAGCGGGGACTTTAGACAAACACTTCCAGTCATTCCACATGGACATAGGGCATAAATTGTTTCAAGTTCTGTAAAAATGAATAAATTATGGAGATTATTTAGAAAGTTATCTTTGAAAACAAATATGCGGCTTGTTGAAAGTGATAAATCATGGTCTGAATGGCTTCTCAAAGTTGGAAATGGTGAAAATTTTGAAAATTTACCATCTTTACCTTCTAACTCCATTTTATTACCTCATACACAACTAATTTATTCATCAATTATTGATTTTGTCTACCCTTCAGTACTTGATATTTCAAACCCTTATATTGCAGCCAACCGAGTCATACTTACCCCACTTAACGATGATACATTTGCACTCAACAACACTATTGTCTCTAAATTACAAGGTGATACATACATCTACAAAAGCATTGATTTTGTTGACACTGAATATCCTGAAAATTTTCCAACAGAATTCCTAAATTCTATCACACCTTCTGGTCTCCCACCACATAAACTCTCTCTCAAACAAGGTGCTATTCTTATCCTCCTAAGAAATATGTCTCCATCAGCAAGATTATGCAATGGTACACGTCTCATCCTGAAAAATGCACTACCAAATGTTTTAGATTGTGAAATTGTGATGGGGCAATTTAAAGGGACAAGAGTTTTTATCCCACGTATTACACTAATACCATCAAATACAGAAATTCCATTCAAAATGTCCAGACGACAATTTCCAATTCGTTTGGGTTACTGCTTAACAATCTCCAAATGCCAAGGACAGACATTTGACCGAGTTGGAGTTTACTTGCCCCACCCAGTTTTCACTCATGGACAACTTTATGTGGCTTTATCAAGATGCACATCACCATATGGACTTGGAATTAAAGTTCAAAACACCACACGCCAAGGCCACCTCCTTCCTCAAGATCCTTCTGTTTTTACAATTAACACTGTCTATAAAGAGGTTTTATATTGAACCTCTTTGTAAACCACCCAGCATTTGCTGGGCAAGTACTCGTAAGTTGATAAGTATAAGGCCAACAGGTATTTGACCCAGTATCAAAATTATTACTTAATAGATGGGACAAAATTAGTGGGGGATCAGTGTGAGGATCTCTTGTAGCTTCTCCATTATTTATATATTCAAGCTCATAATTTTCAGAAGTAATAATAAGATGACCCCATGCATTTAATAATGCTTCTCTTATAAATGTTGAATATAATTCTTGTATTCCTTTACATAATTGCTTACTAGTAATTTGGATGACGGAATCAGGATTCATAGAACAACTATGATAACCCGCAGCTGATTCACTAAATGTACGAATAATAACTTTTGTATTAGGAATAGTTTCAATATCTCTCACACCAATTGAACCTAATTCATAATTCTCATTTCCATTGTATAATCTGTCAAGCAGTAAAACAACATAGTTTATGATAGTGTTAATATGAGAATCAGAAAGATGACCCGCTTATTACAAACTCTAACAAACTGAGACTGAAGATTATCACATAAAATCAGAAATACAATAAGAACAAACATCTTCATCATCAAGCAATAAAGAAATAATATAATTATACTTTAGATTTACTTGTAAGCAATAGAAGCCTTTTATTTAGTACATCGTCTAGCAATAGAGCAGATGGCAATCTACGAAAGCCTATCTTCTTAACCACTCCACAATGCTCCCATCTGCTCGCTCAACAATGGCTGTCGTATAGATTGGACACTGCCACATATAAAGATCCATCACCACCACCCAGCCGCGAGCTCTGGAGCATCGCACTTCCAGCGCCAGCTCCAACCTCGAAGCTCTTATGGGTTTTGCATGCATCCAGCAGCGCCATCCACGCCCTCGAATCCGTCTGGAATGGCATGCTCTTGATCAGCTCCTCCGCCTCACCGATCCTGCCCGATCGCCCAAGAGCGCTGATCAAACACCTGTAGTGCTCCGCCCCCGGATGAATCCCGTGATCAGATCTCATCGCCACGAAGCACTCCCAGATCTCGTCCAGCAATCCCGAGTGGCTGCACGCCCCCAGGATATTAGTGAAGGCCACCTCGTCGAGATGGATCCCCTCCAAGCACAGCGCCTGGAAGATCTCCATCGCTTGCCTGCCATGCCCGTGCTGGGCATACGCCGCCACCGTCGCAGTCCAGGAGATGGTGTCCTTCATCCGATCAAACACCTCCCGTGAGGTGATCACATCCCCGAACCGCGAGATTGACGAGCGTCGTGCCCACGACTGCGTCCCTGTCGAGGCTGGACTGGATCGCTCCGTCGCGAACGAGGAGGAAAGATCGCCCAAGCGCGTGCAAGCGGCGAGAACGGTCGCAAGAGTGGAAGCGTTGGGTTTCACGCTGAGGATCATCTCCCTGTACAGCTCCAGCGCTTTCCTGTCGTGCCCCGCCATCGCTTCTGCAGCGCTCCAGCAAAGAACATCTCTCCTAGAGATCTTTCGGAATGCCGATCGCGCACAGTTCAATCTCCCACAGCCAGTGTACAAGCTGGCGAGCGCGGTGCCGACGATGGTATCCGTCTCAATCTGGGGGCCCAGCCGGGAATGGAGCAGCACTGCCTCTTCTATCGGCCCAAGCCCGCCAGCGCGTTAAGAAAGCTCGCGTACGCGAAAGCATCGGGCTTCACACCACCAGACGCCATCTCCTGGTAGATCTTCAAAGATACTTCCAAATGCCCAGCTTCGGCATTTACTGCGACCATTGCGTTCCACAACACAAAATTGCGGTGCGTCATTCGATCGAACAGCTGCTTCGCCCGATCGATTCTACCGCACTTGGCATACATCGTGACCAGAGCAGTTTAAAGGCCCACGTCCTGTTTGATCCCTCTTTCCACGATTCGCTCGTGGATTTCCAGCCCCTGCTCCAGGCATTTCAATCTAGCGCGAGCGCGGGTGGATCTACGTGCTGGAACGGACGAGAGCTCGGTAGAGACAGAGCGCCTCTTGCTCCTTGCAGGCCCCAACGTATGCCGAGATGATGATCGCCCAGGAGAATTCGTTCCGGAGTGGCATGCTATCGAACGCCGCTCTGGCATCTTCCAGCCTCCCGCAAGCTCTGTACACCTGGACGGGCAAGTTGCCCACCGCTGTGGATAATCCGGGCATGGACACGCCTCCCGTCCTCGAGCAGTCTCGATCGGTCACACTTCCGGAGGATCGTCGCGTACTCCTGTCTGAGCTGAGCATACCTGGACTGTGGTGGTTCCATCTCGATCCAGCGTGCACGTTTGCTAGATTATCTGCGAACTTGAGAAGATCCATTTCTTGGGAACTTACAAGATGAGAGTTCCACTCACTCGTACTCTTCTGGAGGAGCTAGGCAATCCCGCACCAAGTATGGGTTCTCCATTGCCGCTACAACGCGCTCCTTGTCATTAAGTTGCTTGTTAATGATCCATGTCGTACTTCCATGTCGTACTTCCACGTCGTACTTGCGGCCCATTGCAAACTCGCCAGCGTGGCAGAACGCCGACAGCACGGTAATCATCGTGACGTCGCTGGGAGCCGCACTGCCGGCCTGGATCATCCGGTGGAACACCCACAGTGTGCCGTAGTGGTTGCCATTCTGCGAATATGCCATCACCATGGTTGTCCACAGCACCGCGTCGTCATTGCACCTCTGCCGCACGCGGCAGAAGAGGCAGTTCTTGGGTAGGGCAAGCACGTTCCCGCCCAGAACGGGCGAGTCGGGTGTTAGCCCTGCGAGCTCATTTTGGAGGGAATGAGTGAGCCCGTGCCCGGGAACGGCTTTGTTGGGAAACTGTTAACGGACATGTGGAAGAATGTTATTCGAGGATAATAGAGTTCTCCAGAATTGGCAGCTAGTAGCTTGGTTCTCCAGAACCTGGCAGTTGGCAGTTGGGTTCTAGAGAACCTGGCAGTTGTCAGCCACGTTCTTGCAAAGAACCTGACTCGATCCGACAGCTGCCAATAGTTGGATCAAGTTAACGGGTGAGCCATAGCCCATTAAGAGCTCCTTTGCGTGGGGCAGGTTGTCGCACTTGGCGTACATGTTGACCGTGCTGGTCAGTGCAACCACGTCACTTCTTTCGTACAACCCAGCCACCACAATTCCCTCCCGGAGCACGGACACCACGGCTCAGGAATCAAACACGGGCAAGAAGCTCGCCTGGTTGGGTTTGATTCCCTCCAGGTCCATGAGACGAAACACTCCCAGCACTTGCTCTACGTGCCCTTGCTGTGCATATGCTAGGATTATCTCATTCCACGTCGCCACGCCCTTGTACGGCACTATGTTGAAAAAATGCCAGGCCCCCGCAGCTGACGTACACGTCCTTAACAGGCTGTGGCTCGCCCGTTAACTTGATCCAGCCGTTGGCAGCCATTGGATCGAGTCAGGTTCTCTACGAGAATTTTACTGTTGTCAGCCACATTCTGGAGAACGTACCAGGTTTTGGAGAACGTGGCTGACAACTGCCAGGTTCTCCAGAACCCAGCTGCCAGCCGCCAGGTTCTGGAGAACCCTCTCATCCTCCAATAACGTTATTACACGTGTCCATTAACGGTCTTGCCACAGCCCGTTAAGGCCGTTCCTGGGCACAGCCTCGCTCGTTCCCTCCAGAATGCGCTCGCCAGGCTAACGCTCGGCTCACCCGTTCTGGGCGGGAACGTGCTCGCCCTACCCGGGAACTGCCTCATCATGTCCACAGCTCTCTGCAGATGCCAACATCGGGTATTTTCTTTCACTATAGCTTTCCAGTGCAGCCTTTGTCCGGCATAGACTCAAACAAAAATCTTGCCCTAGAGAACATACCGTTAACCAAGTAGGCTTTGAGCATGTTTAGATAGCATTTTGGTCCCTTTTCCTTGATTGGAAAGAACACCTCCTCCACCTCTCCAATATGCCTATTTTGGGCATATGCTGCAATCATAGATGCATGAGTGATATCACTTGGATTATAGACTTTTGTGTATGCAGTGTAAACATCTTTGATTAAGCCATACAATTTATTTAAGTAAGTAATGCCACCTACACTTAAATTGTGTATTAGTTCTTTTTATGTCCCTCTTTAGAAATTCATTTATTAATCGCTTCATATTTATTTTCAAACACTTATTTTAGAGTTCCATTCCTGCTTTTAGCTTTTTGAATTAAAGATTTTAATTTAAATGTGTTATGCTTGTTAAATTTCTATTTAGGCCACTACTACATAACACACTTTGTGTTTAAAAGTTTATATCTTACACCAACTGTTATATCTTTGTAAAAACTCACTAAATTTTTGAGATTTTTGGATTGATGGAAATGAGTTTTAGACTTGGAGGTGATATGGATCAGCATTCAATCCATAATTTAGGAAAACATTGTATGCATTAAAATGTTTTTTTGAGTTCATGTGAGTTTGATCCATCTTTTTGTTTTAGCTCATATTAAGAGACAATCATTTTTAAACAACATTTTAAATAGCATAGCTAATTTAGGGGGCATGTATTCTCAATAAAAAATGAAAATGATGTGAATATTACCTTAGTACAAACTCCTAATAAATAGAAACAAAAGCAGAATTATCTCATGCCGAGTACAGCCCTTTATATATTTCTATCTATCTTGCAGCAGTTAGAGACACCTGAAGTGTGATGCATAATTCTGATCTTAATTAATATTTATATTGGAAAACCATCTAGATTAAAAACATAGAATTTTTTCCTTTCTTTTAATTATATCAAATAAACATATCGATCCAGACTTTCGTATAGCTAAACAAACCCTTCCATACATATTGCAATTTGAACAAAGCTTTTTTGTTGACCATAAAATATTTTTAATGCCTTGTATAACGGCATTTCCGCTTGATTTTATTTGCAAATAGCAGTTAGTGTCTTTATTTCTTGTAAAACTTTCCCATATTACTTTTTTTGGTAAATAATTTTTATCATATAATTTAAGGTCACAATTTGATTCCATTGTCATTCTATACCTATGATTTAAGGAATGCAAACTGTTCCCTTCAGGGAGATAAGTTCCAAAAAACTGATCAGGACCACTTATAAGTTGATAAGTATAAGGCCAACAGGTATTTGACCCAATATCAAAATTATAACTTATTTTATGGGGCGAAATTAGTGGGGGATCAATATGAGGATCTCTTGTAGCTTCTCCATTATTTATATATTCAAGCTCATAATTTTCAGAAGTAATAATAAGATGACCCCATGCATTTAGTAATGCTTCTCTTATAAATGTTGAATATAATTCTTGTATTCCTTTATATAATTGCTTACTAGTAATTTGGATGATGGAATCAGGATTCATAGAACAACTATGATAATCACCAGCTGATTCACTAAATGTACGAATAATAATTTTTGTATTAGGAACATTTCCAATATCACTCATACCTATTGAACCTAATTGATAATTTTCATTTCCATTGTATAATATGTCAAGCAGTAAAACAACAGTGTTTATGATAGTTTTAATATGAGAATCAGAAAGATGACCATGCTTATTACAAACTCTAACAAACTGAGACTGCAGATTATCACATAAAATTAAAAGTAGAATAAGAACGAATGTCTTCATCATCAAGAGGTAAATTAATACCGCAATTATTTACTTCTAAACAATTATAAATGCCGAAAAACATAGAAGCCTTTTATATAGTACATGAGATGGCACCCAGATGGCAATCCACAAAGGCCTATCTTTTATCTCCTCACTCAAGAATGGCTGTCGTATAGATTGGACACTGCCACGTATAGAGATCCATCCACAAGCTCTACTTCCATCAGCTCCAACCTCGAAGCTCTTATAATTACTTACTAGTAATTTGGATGATAGGATCAGGATCCATAGAACAAGTGTGGTAATGATCAGTTGATTCACTATACATCAATAGGTGTGAGAGATATTGAAATTATTCCTAATTGTAAGCAATAGAAGCCGTTTATTTAAATAATAGAGCAGATGGCAGCCTATCTTCTTAACAATGCTTATATCTGCTCGCTCAACAATGGCTGTCGTATAGATTGGACACTGCCACATATAAAGATCCATCACCACCACCCAGCCGCGAGCTCTGGAGCATCGCACTTCCAGCGCCAGCTCCAACCTCGAAGCTCTTATGGGTTTTGCATGCATCCAGCAGCGCCATCCACGCCCTCGAATCCGTCTGGAATGGCATGCTCTTGATCAGCTCCTCCGCCTCACCGATCCTGCCCGATCGCCCAAGAGCGCTGATCAAACACCTGTAGTGCTCCGCCCCCGGATGAATCCCGTGATCACATCTCATCGCCACGAAGCACTCCCAGATCTCGTCCAGCAATCCCGAGTGGCTGCACGCCCCCAGGATGTTAGTGAAGGCCACCTCGTCGAGATGGATCCCCTCCAAGCACAGCGCCTGGAAGATCTCCATCGCTTGCCTGCCATGCCCGTGCTGGGCATACGCCGCCACCATCGCAGTCCAGGAGATGGTGTCCCTCGCCTTGATCCGATCAAACACCTCCCGTGCGGCGATCACATCCCCAAACCGCGCGTAGAGATTGACGAGCGTCGTGCCAACGACTGCGTCCCTGTCGAGGCCGGACTGGATCGCTCCGTCGCGAACGAGGGCGCCGGAGGAAAGATCGCCCAAGCGCGTGCAAGCGGCGAGAACAGTCGCGAGTGTGGAAGCGTTGGGCCTCACGCTGAGGATCATCTCCCTGTATAGCTCCAGCGCTTCCCTGTCGTGCCCCGCCATGGCTTCTGCCGAGATCATCGTGCTCCAGCAAAGAACATCTCTCCTAGAGATCTTTCGGAATGCCGATCTCGCACAGTCCAATCTCCCACAGCCAGTGTACAAGCTGACGAGCGCGGTGCCGACGATGGTATCTGTCTCGATCTGGGAGCCCAGCCGGGAATGGAGCAGCACTGCCTCTTCTATCCGGCCCAAGCCCGCCAGCGCGTTAAGAACGCTCGCGTACGTGAAAGCATCGGGCTTCACACCAGCAGACACCATCTCCTGGTAGATCTTCAAAGCTACTTCCAAATGCCCAGCTTCGGCATTTGCTGAGACCATTGCGTTCCACGACACAACATCCCGATGCGTGATCCGATCGAACACCTGCTTCGCTCGATCGATTCTACCGCACTTGGCATACATCGTGACTAGCGCATTTTGAAGGCCCACGTCCTGTTTGACCCCTCTTTTCACGATTCGCTCGTGGATTTCCAGCCCCTGCTCCAGGCATTTCAATCTAGCGCAAGCGGCAAGAACGCTGGAGAAGATGAACGCGTCCGCCTGGATCTCCGTGCTGGAACGGACGAGAGTTCGGTAAAGACAGAGCGCCTCTTGCTCCTTGCCGGCCCCAACGTATGCCGAGATGATGATCGCCCAGGAGAATTCGTTCCGGAGTGGCATGCTATCGAACACCGCTCTGGCATCTTCCAGCCTCCCGCAATCTCTGTACATCTGGACGAGCAAGTTACCCAGGAACCTGTCGCGGGTGTGGCCGCTGTGGATGATCCGGGCATGGACACGCCTCCCGTCCTCGAGCAGCCTCGATCGGGCACACTTCCGGAGGATCGTCGCGTACTCCTGCCTGAGCTGAGCATACCTGGACTGTGGTGGTTCCATCTCGATCCAACGAGCACGTTTGCTAGATTATCTGCGAACTTGAGAAGATCTATTTCTTGGGAACTTACAAGATGAGAGTTCCACTCACTCGTACTCTTCTGGAGGAGCTAGGCAATCCCGCACGGTTTGAGCCAAGTATGGGTTCTCCATTGCCGCTACAACGCGCTCCTTGTCATTAAGTTGCTTGTTCACTGCAAGAATGATCCATGATCCACAAACGAAAAGCTTTCCAGGAATTTTTCTTACCCGCAGCCGCGGTAGAGTGAGAACCTGGTGCCACTCTTATATCCACCTAAGATCAAAACCACTCAAACTCGAGAAAACTGGAAGAGAAGCCATACCTTGAAGCGAGGTGGAAGAGAGTGCATGAGCTTCACTCGAATGCACAGTCCAATCAGCGTTGCCATGCTACAGTGCTGGACTGTGGGAGTAAATGTGACCCTTGCAAATTCATCAGGCTAAACCAATCTAGAAGAAGAGAGAAATTTCTTTCGTCCATACCTCACATAGCTTTGCTTATCGTCCACTTCGATCCCCTCTTCAGCGAGCACATTTAGCTGCTCCAGCGAGTATGGATGCTCCGGATCGCGGATATCCCTCAAGTGCTGTGCTAAAATCGTCAAGGAAACCAAGAAACCGAGGCCAAATTCTGTCCAGGCCAAGAAAAAGGATATCAAAAACCTCCAAGGCGTCGATTTCTTCCGCGGCGCTCTCGTCTCCGATAGAAGGGCGCTGCCGCCGCGTCGCCTTGCGCTCATGGATCACCGGATTCGCATTCTGGAGCGCCATGACATATACCCTAGAAGAAGAGGGGATATTCCCACGGAGAATATTCGTTAAAGCATATTCTGAGAGAATATCCTCAATTTGAAATTCTTATGAAAGTTCGCATAGAAATCTCGCATGAAATGGAGGAGAGTTTGGCTCTCTCGATCCTACAGCACCCTCCTCCTTCCGGAAGAGATCCACAGGCTGCGCAACAGCCTCGCTCACGCAGACTCGGCAACGTTTGCTCTGCTGCTCCGGCACTGCAGCAACGCGAGGGCGCTACAACAGGGCAAGTTGATCCATTCGTATATCATCGACAAAGGCTACGGTCAGGACACCTTCCTCGGTAATCTCTTGGTAAAAATGTACTCCGACTGTGACTGCATTCAGGACGCCCAGGCGGTGTTCTCTAGCATCCGTCACAAGAACGTCTTCTCGTGGAACATCATGACTGCAGCATTTGCCCAAACGCGGGATATGCAGAAAGCGAGGAAATGCTTTGATCAGACACCGCGGAAAGACGCAGTTTCATGGACGACCATGATGTCGGCTTATACGCAAGTTGGAAAGTGCAAAGAGGCCTTGCAGCTGTTCAAGCTCATGGATCTGAGCGGTGTCTACCCGGATCAAGGCGCATTCGTCAGCGTTCTCAATGCCTGTGCTAGCGAAGCCTCGGCATCCGAGAGGAGAGAAATCCTAGAGCACCTTGAAGCTGGAGTTTCGGATCTGGATGTGGTGCTTGGAACTTCCATGGTTGGCATCTACGGGAAGTCTGGAGAGATTGACAAGGCCCGAGCGGTGTTTCGACAAATGCCCAAGAGGAACGTTGTCTCGTGGACGGTGATGGTCGAGGCAACTGTGGAGGATGGGAACCTCCAGAGGGCGAGGGAGCTCTTTGAGAAGATGCCGGAATGGACGACGGCTTCGTGGGTGGTAGTGATCAGCGCTTACGCAAGGCTCGGGGAATTGCTCGAGGCCGAGAGTTTGCTTGACAGAATGCTGTATCAAAACGTTGCCGCCTGGACTGTCGTAATTGCAGCAAATGCACATATGGGGCATGTGCAAGAGGCTGCGTTTCTGTTTCAGCGAATGGATCAGGCGGGCGTGCCTCCGGATAAGATCACACTCGTCAACATTCTGGATGGCTGCGCAAAGTTTGGGGCGCTAGCTATCGCGAAAACCATCGAATCTGGAATCGCAGATACCGAGTTCATGAAGGATGACGCTGTAGTCACGAATTTAATCAACGTTCATGGCAAGTGCAGCAGCGTGAAGCACGCAATCGAGCTCTTCGAGGGAGAGGCCTTCCTCCTGGACAGTGTGATTCTATGGTCATCTACAATGGCAGCACTCGCACAGAACGATCGAGCGCGCGAAGCGATCGAGCTCTTCCACTGCCTACAACTTTACGGGATGGAACCAACGAGGATCACTTTCAGCATCGTTCTCTTCGTTTGCAGTCACGGTGGCATGATGAAACGAGGGTGGGAGAGCTTCCTGGCTATGCAAGCTGATCACTTCCTCAACCCGGATGTTGATCACTTCGTTTCCATGATCGACCTCCTGGGAAGATGCGGATGGCTCGACCTTGCTTTCGAGCTGATCGAGACAATGCCGTTTGTGCCAGACGACGTTGCTTGGACGATCCTGCTCAACACATCCAAGCTCTACGATGAGTCGACACGAGCGCGGTTGGCGGCGAAGCACCTGATGGAACTTGGAGACGAAGACTCGGCGCCTTATGTCTTGCTAGCTGGTGTTTGCCGTTCTAGCTCTCCGCAACAAGACGAGGAACTCTTTCCCCACAGCCTCTCGCTGTGATTGTATGAGCTTCTGGACCTCGCTAAGTTTCTGCTTGAGGCCGGGGGCACTGGATGACAAAGCCATCTCAAGCATAATGTCCATAGACATCTGCGAGGCTTCAACTTTCTCAGGAGCAGCCCGAGCTGATGCAAGTCAAAAGACTTTGGAGTACCTGCGATTCACAAAGGTTGAGAGTGTGTAGTCCGTGAGCATCTCCCTCATCTTAGTGCCTGCCTTACCAACAGGTTCCACACCAACAACACGAGTAACTCTTTCCTTACAATGTGATTGTATGTTCAAACTCGACAAGCTGGGATTGGACATCACTCGTGTACAAGGTGGAGGACTATCACTTCGAAGTGAACGCAACTTTAGTTTATGGAAAGTAGTGTGAGTATCACCACTACAACTCCGCCTTGTATTGATCCCAAATTTCTATGATCTTGACGCATCCCTCGCATCGCCGAGAAGAGCCTCTCGTGTTTCTTAAACAGCGGCAGCATCCTGCAGGAAACACAGCCGATTTCAAGTCGAGACATACCCGGTGGGTTTCATATGCTTGCACGTTGACAAGAAGAGGAAGTAGAGCTTGAAGAACAGCAAAACGAGCTTGCTTGTTTCCCAAGTTGTATGCCATACCCAATGGTTCTAACTTCTTCTGTGAAGCTCTCTTGACGATGAGCTGCCACTTGAGACCGGCGAAAGCAAAGGCGAGCAAGAATTTGACGTTGCCATACGCACCTCACTCAGTTTGCTGGAGATTTCGTTGGACGCCACGGTGAAGTCACGTTCGTCGGCCTTCCCTTCTCCAAGCATGAACGGGATGTCCTGGAACTGGAGCAAGAACTCGGGCCTCTTCCTCTTGCGGCACCACTTTGCCGTTTGTGTTGACATGGAATCGGTTGCGGTCTCAACTGTAGCCATTGAGAAGTAGTAGTCGGACCGGTTATCCATATCCGAAAAGCTCTTGAGGCATTGAACGATGGCATAGAAGTTCAAGAAGTTGTAATTTCGGTAGATTTTATCGTCACTTGTCATTCAAAAATAATGGTGGAAGAATATTCTCCACCATGAAAGCGCGGGAATGAATTGATGGTAACTATGCATCATGCAACAATTCCTTACAGCCAATCGCTGTGACTGCGTGATCTTCGAACTCGCCAAGCTTTGCGAAAGCTCTTTGTCCGCGAGAGAGATCGCCTTGAAGTCCGCAAGCGCCAAGCAGAGCCACCAAGGACACCTGGTCCGGTTTGAAAGGCATGGCTTCGAGCAGCTCCTCGGCCTCTCCCATCCTGCCGCTCCGGCCCAGATGATCTACGAGGCAAGTGTAGTGTTCCTGAGACAACTTCGCACCGAAGTGATCGTCAAGGATGGGGTGGAGGTGCGAGAACTTGGTGCCGGCGTGGCTACAAGCCGTGAGCGACGCGAGGAGAGTTACTTCATCGGGCTGGATCCCATGGAGTAGCATGCTGCAGACGAGCTCCATGGAAGCTTTGGACTCCCCGCTGTGTGCCACTGCTGCGATCATCGCGTTCCAGAGCGGAGCACTCGGCCTCGAGAACGCCACCATTCTTTCGAACACACTCCGAGCTTCTTGGAGGCAGCCGCATTTTCCATACAAGTTCAGCACTGCGGTGCCGACTCTCAGACCGTCCAAGAGCTCGGCGTTGGCAGCGGCGACGACGAGCTTGCCGTGGACAAGATCTGGCAAGCTTGCACAGGCGTCCAAGGCAGAGACAAGCGAAATGGCGTCGTGCTGGATTCCTTCCACGTCCATTTCGACAAACAGCTCGATCCCCCGGCGAAACTCTCCTCCGTGAAAGCACGCGGCAAGCATTGAGTTCCATGACGCGATATCTCTCTGTGGCATTCCATCAAAAACTTTCTTGGCATCAAGGTGGCGAGCGTTTCTCGCGCAAGCCGAAACGAGAGCGTTCCAGGAGACGACGTTCCTGCTGGGCATTTGCTGGAACACAAGCACGGCATCTTCGAGCCTGCCACACTTGGCATACAAATCGACGAGCGCAGTCCCGACAACAGCATTTGAGAGTAGACTATCGCGGCAGCAAATCTCTCGGTGGATCTCACTCCCAGTTTGGAGATCCCCAACACTTCCACAGGCATCTAACACGACCACGAACGTCACCCTGTCTGCCTGGAAGCCTTCCAAGTCCATGAGCACGAAGAGCTCCAGCGCTTCTCTGGGATGCCCAGCCTGAGCATAGGCTCCGATCATCGCATTCCAGGCCACGAAGTCGCGCTCCAGAGGGATCATCCCATCGAACAAGTTCCTGGCCTCTTGGAGTCGCCCGTGACGACCAAGTACCGCGAGCATCGACGTCCACAGCACCGTGTCTCTCGACGTGACTCTTTCAAAGCATCTCACGGCCTTGTCCAGCGATCCGAACTTCATCCCATGCAAGTTGACGAGCGCGGTTCCAATCTCGGTGTCCGATCCAAGGCCAAGCTCGTCGCTTGCAGCTTCGATCGGGCGAGTAGCCGCTGGTGTAGTGGAGCAGGCATCCAGAGCGATGAGCAAAGTCACCTTGTTGGGAGGAATCCCATCCAGGAGCAGCGCCTGGAACAGCGAGAGAGCCATCTGGGGGTGCCCGTTCTGGGCGTACGCCGTGAGGATTGAGTTCCAAGAGACGATGTTCCTCTCGGGCATCTTGTGGAACGCTAGCTCAGCGATTGCCAGTTCACCGCTCGCGGCATTTGCTGCGAGGATTGTTGTCCAGGACACCACATCTCTCTCCGGCGCGCTCACAAACACACGATCGGTTTCCAAGAACGCACTAGAATCTCTACAAGCCGCGAGCATCGCGTTCCAGGCAACCAAATTCCTGGATGGCATGCGATGGAAAACACGCTCTGCGGCCCCAAAATCTCCATTCTGGGCAAATGCGACAAGGAGGCTGTTCCACGAGAAGCTGTTCTTCGCGGCAATCTCCCCAAACGCCGCCACCGCATCGCGGACGCTACCGCAGCGCCCATACATCTGGACGAGGAGATTTCCCAAGAACACATCCCTGTCCAGCCGTCCGGATCGAGCAATCTCCGCGTGGAGGCGCCGCCCCAGGGCCAAGCTGCCACAGCCGCGAAGAACAGGCCCATAGAAGCGATGGATTGACGCCAGGCCACTCGCAATGGCATTTCTATCCCGAATCCAATCGATCAGCGCCCCTGGGATCGATCAATCCACTCGCATCAATCCAAGCGATCAGAGCCCCTGGCATCGATCAAGCCGCGCAGGCCGGCGAGGAGAGAATACGGCGCGGAGTTGTGCGGATCACGCTCCATCACCGCCGCCGCCGCCCGCAAACCCCGGAGCCAATCGCTGCTCGTCCGGCAAGCGCTCAGCAGCGCGACCCACGCCGCGGGATCCGGCTCAAACGGCATATTCAGCAGAAGATCCTCGGCGCTGGCCAGGTCACCACACCGCGCAAAGTAGTCCACCACGCACACGTAGTGGTCTGCGGTAACAGCCACGCCGTACTCGCGGCCCATTGCACGGAAGTAGTCCACCGCGGCAGTCAACTCACCAGCATGGCAGCACGCCGACAGGACGGTAATCATCGTGACGTCGCTGGGAGCCGCGCCGCCGGCCTGAATCATCCGGTGGAACACCCGCAGTGCCCCACGGTGGTCGCCACTCTGCGAATTTGCCGTCACCATGGTCGTCCACAGCACCGCGTCGTCATTGCACCTCTGCCGCACGCGGCAGAAGAGCTCCTCCGCGTGCGGCAGGCTCCCGCACTTGGCGTACATGTTGACCGCGCTGGTCAGCACCACCACGTCACCTCCTCCGTACAGCCCGGCCACCACGATTCCCTCCCGGAGCGCGGACGCCACGGCGCAGGAGTCGAACACGCGCACGAAGCTCGCCTGGTTGGGTTCGATTCCCTCCAGGTCCATGAGACGAAACACTCCCAGCGCTTGCTCTACGTGCCCCCGCTGGGCATATGCTAGGATCATCTCATTCCACGTCGCCACGCCCTTGTACGGCACTATGTTGAAAAAATGCCTGGCACTAGTTAGATCCCCGCAGCTGACGTACACGTCCATCATGTACTGGAAGGTCTCCAAATCCCTGTACGCCATCCTCTCAAAGTAGTCCACGGCTCTCTGAAAATGCCAACACCGGGCATTTGCTTCTACCATAGCTTTCCAGTCCTCGCAGCGCTTTTCCGGCATAGAATCAAACAAAAAGCTTGCCTTAGAGAACATACCGTTAACCAAGTAGGCTTTGAGCATGTCTAGATAGCATTTTGGCCCCTTTTCCTTGATTGGAAAGAACACCTCCTCCGCCTCTCGAATATGCCCGTTCTGGGCATATGCGGCTATCATAGCCGCGTGAGTGATATCACTTGGATTATAGACCTTTGCGTACGCAGCCTCGGCATCCCTGACTAAGCCACACATTCCGTATAAGGAGATGAGAAGATTCCCGTAGTATGCCTCTTGATCGTAGCCCCTGGACGCGAGAATCTCGTGGATGCGCTTTCCCTCGTTGAGGGATCTTGCGTTGAGGAATTGCTTGAGCAAAGCGCAGTAGAGCTTGATCTCCGAGCTTTTCTTGCGCTGGATTGGCATAGCGGAGTAAAGATTTTCTACCACCTAGATTCATGTCACACATGGTGGAAATTTTTCTTTCATCAAATGTTATCTATACACGTAACGCTAACTCGTCAAATCAAAAGTTTACAAGCTGTGGATGATTTACTCGTACAAATGCTGGCTCTTTGGCCGCGCGAGGCCGATTGGAACTGGCGAAAAGGACGTGGAAGACGACGCCCAGCGATTCCCAGTGCCAGACTCATGGGCCCTGCGATTCCTTCGTGGAAGATCCTCACCAATCTCGGCTGCGCGGGGATTTCCATCGCTAACGCTCGAGTGTGACGACGACGACGAAGTCGTGCTTTGCCGCCGCGAGGTGAAAAGATTCGCGACCGATCGCTCCCACCACCATTTCAAGCTCTTGGTTGCCACCGGGAGCAAGAGGAACGCGAGCCTCAGAGCCAGGAAGCACGCCGCGAGCGTGAGATACATGTTGCCCTCAAGTAGCTTCTCGGGAGAGATATACGGGCACATACCAGCCGGAGATCTGCCTTGGCTCGAGTGAAGGATCAGAGCTTCCGAGGATCCTTGAACTTCCGGCGAAAATCCTGGACAGAAGCAAGAATGGATGAAGCTGGAGAGAAAGAGAGAAAGAACTGCGCAAACAAACCAACCTGTCATGTCTTTGTAGAAGCTCGCCAAGTTCTTGAGATCTTTGGATCCGTGGAAACGAGTCCTGGACTTGGAGGTGAGATGGATCAGTGTTGGGAAGCTATTCACTCCATACTTCGAGAGAACACTGCATGCATCGAAACGTTCTTGTGAGTTTCTGTGAGTTTGATCCAGCTCCTCTTTTCATACCTCGGCCTCACGCTCGATTCCTCCACAGCGATGTGATACACCGACGGATAGATGGAAGACATCGTGTCAAACAATGGCCTCATGAGCTTCGAGAATGGACACCACGACGCGTAGAGCAGTAGCATCGCGCTGGATTCCACCTTGGACGCCGACCACAAGGAGCTCAGCGTTTGCTCCAGAGTAGCGGAGCTCTCGTTTAGCTAGAACACAAACCAAGACCACAAAATCAAATGCGCTCTCTCATCGTAATCCTAGGCGATCGCGATCGATCTTACCTCGAGAACCCGAGGAACAAGGCTCACGCGATTGACGAGCTCCCCGATGACGACCTCGTCGGGGGAGTGGAGAAAGATTTGCGCCAAAGAGGGGCGCTTGCAGCACGGCGCCTCCGGCAATCCATCCGACGATCCGAAAGAATGCAAGGAGAAGAGGAGGAAGAGAGCGTGTAGCAGCAGCCTGTGAGGATCGAGCATGGTCTTCTTCCCCGAAAACCCTAGGAGCTGGAATGAAAATTTAGGGCAACAAGAAATTTTTTTGGAAGGGAGAAAAGAGCCATGGTCCATTTCGTGGAGAGGGAGGGGATCGAGGGCCGGATCTTCCTCGTCACCGGCGGCGCTGGCTTTGTCGGATCGGCAATCTGCCTGGAGCTCGTCAATCGCGGCGCTTCCGAGGTGCGATCGCTGGACGTGAGCAAGGCATCGCGAAATCTCCCGGCGCTCAAGGCCAATGGCGTCAAATGCATCACAGGTATGGCGGAAATCTCCGTGAATCGAGCTGCGCAGAGACAGGAAATCGCGAATTTCGCGAGGATTGATGGAAGGATTGATGGATTGCAGGTGATGTCCGGCGGAAAGAAGCGGCAGAAAACGCGATCAAGGGCGCGCACTGTGTGTTCCATGTGGCATCGTTTGGGAGCTTGGGCAAGCAGACGCTCCAGGCCGGGAGGATCGATCAGACCAACTTGGATGGAACTTGCAACGTCATCGATGCCTGTGTCAAGCACGGCGTGGAGAGGCTCGTGTACACGAGCACCAACAATGTTATCTTTGGAGGACAGCCTATCATCAATGGAAACGAGGCCATGTCCTACTTCTCGATCGAGCATCACTGTGATCCTTACGGCCGGAGCAAGGCACTGGCGGAGCAACTAGTGCTACGAAGCAACAACAGGCCTTCCAAGTATGCTTTCTAGATCACCGAGTTTCACTGCTACGCTCTTCCTGGTCTTTCTACTTCGTGGTCTTCCTGTTCACTGCTAAGTTCTTCGTGGTTTCCTGTTCTTTCTACTTCACTGCTAAGTTCTTGGTGGCTTTCTTGTTCTTTCTACTTCACTGCTAAGTTCTTTGTGGTTTTGCTGTTCTTTCTACTTCACTGCTAAGTTCTTCGTGGTTTTCCTGTTCTTTCTACTTCACTGCTCGTGCTAAGCTCTTCGTCGTTTTCTTGTTCTTTCTAATGATTTCTTCGTTTCTTCCCAGAAAAGCAAGCCGCAAGCTCTACACTTGCGCTGTTCGATCGCCTATTGTCTACGGACCCGGAGAAACACTCCATCTCTCAAGAGTCCTCAGCACTGCCAAGCTCGGGCTTTTCTTTTCCAGAATCGGTGAGAGCAATGCCAGAACCGACTTTATCTACGTCGACAATCTCGTGAATGCGCATCTACTGGCTAGCATGGCGCTCCTCGACGATGTTCCTGGAACTGGAGGCGTTCCCACGGCAGCAGGAAAAGCTTACTTCGTCTCAGATGGTACTTCACAGCCAATTCTCTTTTAACCATTAACACAACGAGCGTTTCTTTTTCACAGACGCGCCAACGAACTACTTCGAATTCGTCCGTCCTCTCGTGGAAGGCTTGAACTACAAATTTCCACAGAGGGAGCTGAGCGTGTCGGCTGCTTTGAGATTCGCATGGTTTTTCTGGGGACTCTATGGATTGCTATATCCATGGTTGGAGAGATCGTGGATTCCAGATCCACTCTTACTTCCTTCCGAGGTTCACAAGGTTCGCCAACTCTTATTTTTCTCTTCTTGAGTCTAAATTGTCTCTCTTGAACAGGTTGGAATCACACACTACTTTTCCTCTCTACGAGCACGCCAGGAGCTTGGCTACGTCCCGCTCATCGATCAGAAGGAAGGTCTGGAGCGAACGCTTGCCTACTTGAAAGAGAAGAAGCACAGAGAGCTCGAAACGCCAACTTTCGGCTGGTGGATCGGCATCTTGGCGGCTATGTTTGCTTTGTTTTGCTCGGCCTTCGTGCCTGACCCCTTCATGGGACCATTCGAGTGCGTGCGGAGCCTGGGAATCCTCCTCCACGGCTCGGTCCGGAACCTCAAGCTGGTGTTCCTCACCGCGTGCCTCGCTCACGCCGCGGAAGCTAGCTACGCCTGGAAGCTCGCAAAGTCTGTGGATCCCGAGAACGCGAAGGGATGGTTCTGGCAGACGCTAGCGCTCGGCTTCCCGTCCCTCAGGCTGTTGCTCGCGAGATCCAAGCGGAAGAATGCGTGAAGAGATGGCAGAAAGAAGCTCCCTGGGAAGAGATGGATCGAAAGAAGTTCTCTGGGGAGAGATGGATAGAAAGAAGTTTCCTGTGAAGAGTGGGGAATTTTTCGAGAGAAGTAAAATCTTTGTTTAGAGCAGCTTGGCGAATCAAGAAGAATGTTATGGTGGAAGTCTCTGTTCTAAGCTCTCGAAAGTAAAAGACAAAAGAGCAATCCCAATCTCCTGTGACAGTGGAATTAAAAAAACTTGGGCACGCTCATGGTCGGTTGATAGATCACATCAGCCAGCGATGAGAGCGTACAGTGACAATTCCAGAGATTCCCTGGCCAAGTGCCTGATGTCCAGTGCCTGGATAGAGAAAAAGAAGTGAAGAAGAACCAAAAAGGAAACTCCAGATAATAGAAGAAAGATCTAGATTTCTTATACCTTGCTGCGAATGCAAAGACTAGCCATGGCTGGACGGTTCTTGGATCCCGGTCCCGGCGCCGATAATTCTCCTCGATCGATCGAGATGGTCGCGTCCTGAACGAGCAGCTGGTGCTGCCGCAAGATCCACAGCACGCTCAGCACCAAGCCCTGGCGCATACTGCAGCTCATGCTCAAGAACACGTCGGATTCGCAGATGTGGAGCCCCACGGGGCCGCCGCCACGATCCATCGCCGGCAGCGAGGAGCTTGCGATCATCAAATTCCTTGACTTACAGCGGCGTCGATCCTCGAGCACGGATTTCCTGAGCGCCAGCTCCTGGATTTGGCGCTGCAGTGACTGGATCAGCGCCATTGCCTCGGCGATGACCTCGCATCGATCCATCTGTACAGCAAAGAAGCAAGCAAAGCATTTAGCCCTTTCTGAGAATCCTAGCGATCGATCGAATGTGATGGATGGAGCGAGAGATTACTACCTTCCAGGAATGCGATTGGAGCGGTAGCAGCAGGCGCAGTCGATCATACAGCTCCTGGACCTCCTTCCGCCGCTCGCGCTCCGACCAGATGTGATTGATCCGCTGCATGTAACTCCGGCTCCGCCCTCCCTGCGCCGGGATTAGATGATCCATGGCCGCGATCCTCCTCCTCTCGCGCGAAGTCTTCGAAATCTTTTGGAATAGTCAAGCACCAAAGGAATTATAAATATTCCGAACTTTCTTTCCAGGGAATCACACCGTACGCGCGGTGTTTATGATCTGTATAGAAGGCCAGACCCGTGGTACGATGCTTGCAATGCCCGTGAACGCCTGGGCGAAGTCCGTGGATCATGCCTTGGCTTCTACCTCATGAAGCACTGCCAGACGACGCAGCCAAGATCGCCATCCATCATAGGGCTTTGACCGTGTGATTGTAGCGATGCTGATGATCCAGCACCAGACGTCGCCGCTGGAGGCGAGGCTGATTCTTCTGCTGGATTGCCTTGGAGGAGGTGAGTATCATGAAACTCTTCTCCTGCGGGGTCTGGAATCTCCAGCGTGGGAGGAGATGGAGATGGGTCGCTTCTTTCATGATCTTGAGAAACGGGTGAGTGGGCTACAAGTGCCTTGTTCCTGATGCGCGAGTTCCACTGGTTCTTCACATCGTTGTCTGTTCGTCCGGGAAGCTGGGAAGCAATGTAAGCCCACCTGTGATTGATATCAGTGATGAGGATAAAAAAGTGATGGTGCCGGATCAAACACCTGTTTCCAACAAGCCCATGGAGCTCGATGAGCTTTTGATTCTCCTCGTCGCTGAATTTCCCACGTTTAAGGTCCGGCCTCAAGTAGTTCACCCACCTTAGTCTACAGCTCTTCCCACTTCTTTGGAGCCCTGCAAGAAAGCAGCGAAATCGGTTCTATAGAAAACTTCGTGAGTGAGATCGTCAATCAAACCCGCAAGCTTGGGAACAGTGGTCCATACGTTTCCACACCCGTGCTGCAGTATGAAATTCAGCAATAGCTCGTCCTCTTCGGGCGACCACAGTCCCTTCCTCACGATCGAGCTCGAGCTCGTCGCGCATCCCAATTCATGATCGTCGGGTTGTTCTCTTCTCGAGACCATGGATCGGTGAAGAACTTTGTGACAAGGATTTCAAAGAAGATGAATTCATTTCAAGCTTGCTCTTTTGGTCATGGATCAAACTCATGGAAGGACAATATCAGTTGACACACATTTCTCACATTCCAACCACCATACACAAAAACATGGTAATGTTTTCATTTTTTTTCTTCTGTCTTCTTCTGTTTGTCTCAGCTTCATATTAAGAATCTCACAATAACTTTATTTTCTACTGTCCCAAGGTACAAAGCTTGAAAGTCCTTTCCGCAAAGCTGGCCCTTTGACAGAGATTGCAAGATTGAGGCCAATGTTTTAGATCTATACTTCTGAGTACAGTGTTCACCTTTTTTGAGTCGTAATACCTTAAGATGAAAGTACTATATAAAAATAAATTCTAAAAATCCAGTTTCTAAAATCTTTTTTGTGACAGAGAAATGATAAAAGAAATGCATTATGTCAAGTAACACATATTGGATTATAACTCATGCTTGAAAAAATTCACTTCAAAATATATACCATCTTAGCAGTATATGTCAAAACAATTAATATGCATCACAGAATGTTTTTCTTAGAAGAAACTCACTCAGCTTGAAATAATTTTAGTATTTTCTTTTGGAATTTTTTTAACCAAGAATAGCATCATGTTTAGGTTCAGGTTTAGTAAATCAAGGAACGTTTAGGTTCAGGTTTAGGGGGTTTTAGCGATGAGTATAAGTATATTCTAGGCATCAAAAATCACCTGAGACAAGGAAATGGATTTTTTGATAAAAGGGAGAAGATGTGGAAATAGTGGTTATAGCAGCAAAGTATGGATATAGTTGCCTCCAATTTTCATGTTTGAACTTCATGTCATATATATATATATATGTGAGGGCCAAGTGTACGGCTACGATGCCGTATACTAATATTAGCGTAGTGGATTTTGGTAGCCGTCGGATTGGTTTCAATCCGGACCACTCACTCCTGTATATAAGCTAGGGTTTTTGGGTTAATTGAGATGCACATTTCTGTATTCCCTTTCCATATTCCATACACTCACATTGGTGGAGGTGAGGGGCACCTTTGATTGTCCCTGGGGAGTGCTTGGATTTGGGATTTTGGTTTAGATCTAGCTTTTGCATTGTCTAGATCTAGTTTTTTCCATTTCCTTTCTTTTGTTCTTTCCTTTCAGGATTTTGGTTTAGATCTAGCTTTTTGCATTGTCTAGATCTACCATTTCTTTCCAGCTTTTGTCATTTCTCTTCTTTTGCTCTTTCTTTCTCATTCATTTTCATGGCCGATCCGCAATCTCCTCCTTTGACTCTAGAGCAGCAGTTGGTTCAATTGCTTGATGCTATGCGCCTGCAATTGAACAACCAAACTCAGTTGATGGCGGCGTTCACGGCACATGGTACAACTCCTCCTGCTTTTGGTGCCAATCCTCGCGTTCGGCCGGAGTTCTTTCGTGGGAATCCTGGGGATGATGTGTACCATTGGTTCGATCACTTCACGGTGATTGCCACATATCATTCTTGGGATGATGCTCGACGTTTGCGTGAGTTCCCCACATGTCTTCAAGGGACGGCATTGCAGTGGTACAATGGATTGAGCGCAGCTACTCGTGGCGATTGGAGTGTTCTTCCGGACGTCTTCAAACGCGCCTTTGGACACGCCGACGATTGTGATGATGCCTTCCAACAATTGCATCGTCTTCGCCAAGGGCCATCTGAGTCGGTGATGCAATTTGGCGTTCGTTTCCGAAGTCTTTTGCTTCGTGCGGAGCCAAATATGTCAGAGCGGATCAAGCTAGGAATGCTGTGGCCAGCACTTCGTCAAGATCTTGTCGAACTTGTGCATGCACTTGCTCCTGCCACTCTTGACGATGCTCTTCGCTTGGCACAACGTTATGAGACGTCGCCTCTTCCACATCTTGCTACACGTCCTTCAGCTCCACTTCCTATGAGTGATGGTCCTGTTCCCATGGAGGTTGATGCTGCTGCTACTCGAGTCCAAGGACAAGGGCGAGGACGTGGTCGTGGCCGTGACATTCGTTGCTGGGCGTGTGATGAAGTTGGTCATACTTATCGGCGTTGTCGGCGCTTTCCGGATTGGCAACCTCCATTTCCTGGGTGGAGACCTTGGCGTCAGCAACGTCCCGTTGGTGCTGCTGCGGTGGAAGGTTTGGATACCGAGGTGCATTCGGGAAACGAGGAGTCGCGCGAGTAATGGAGGGACCTTGCGCGAATAAGTTAGTGACCCCTCCATCTTTCTTTCGGGAGTATCATCAAGGGGTTCACTCGGCACCGGTTCATCCAGTGTTTACTTTCCAAGCTCGTTTTTATAACAAGAGGTCTCCTATTCTTCTCTCCGTGTTGGTTGATATAGGTTCGAGTTTATCTTCTATTGCTCGACCTGTTGCCACACGTTGTCGTCTACACTTGCGTCGTGCGGCGGATCCAGTTTTCATTCTTTATGGCAACGGCCGTACACATGCATGTGCACGAGATGAGGCGGACCTGGTTGTGCGTGTGGGCGATCTCGAGCTTGAGTTGCAGTCGTTGCGGGTGGTGCCGAGTCAAGCTTTTGACCTCATTCTTGGTATGGATTGGTTGCAGCACAATCATGCCAAGTGTGACTTTGAGGCTTTTCCCCCTTGTCTCATACTTCCTTATGTTTCATCCATTCCTCTCACTTCCGTACCTCTTCGTCCCTCTACTTCTACCTCTGCTTCCATTACTTTTGTTCCCCCATTATTTCCTCTTGTGTTTCCATCTTGTTCTGCTCTTCCCTTTTCCGATCCCTCCGATGATCTTTGTGTTGCAGCTGTTGACCAGCTCATAAAGGAGTATTCTGATCTCTTTGAATTTGACCTATCGTCTGGGGCCAAGATTGCCACACGTCATCCCATTCCAACCGGGGATGCTCGTCTAATCAAGGTTCCTGTTCGTCGTCGGTCACCCAAGGAGATCAAGATTTTACGTGCAAACGTCAAGGACATGTTGGAGAAGGGTGTTATTCGGAAGTCGCGGAGTCCTTGGGCATGTGAACCTCATCTTGTGACGAAGCCTGATGAGAGTATTCGTTTCTGCATCGACTATCGTCCGTTAAATGAAGTGACGATCCCGGACGTGTACCCTCTTCCTCACACTGCTGATCTCTTGGATCGTTTGGGGCGAAGTCGTTGGTTCACCAAGCTAGATCTTGCTTCTGGGTATTGGCAAGTACCGATGGCTGAAGACGATATTCCTAAGACTGCTTTTCGTACACCATTTGGTTTGTACGAGTTTTTGGTGATGCCGTTTGGTTTGAACAATGCTCCAGCAACTTTTCAGCGAATGATGGACGAGGTTCTTTGCGATATGCCGGAGGTGACGGCTGACTTCATTGATGATGTCTTGATCCACTCGGAGGGGACGTGGGAGGAGCATGTTCGTGATGTTTGTAAAGTGTTGGATCGGCTACGCGACGTTGGTTTAAAGCTAAAGCGGTCGAAGTGCGTGTTTGGGTCCAAGGACACAACTTATCTTGGGTACCGTATTTCTCGTGAGGGTTTGCAAGTTGATCCTGACAAACTTGTGGCTGTTCTAAAGTTCCCTATTCCGAAGTGTGTGAATGATGTGCAGCGCTTTTTGGGTAAGGTGCAGTATCTCGGTCGTTTTGTGGATCATCTTTCCGATCGCACTTTACCATTGCAAGCATTGCTGAAGTCATCAAACCCATCTTGAAGCCTTCGAATCCATGGCTTAATCTTTTGAGCCTCACGAACTTCATCAAGAGAAGGTAAATATTGCTCTACGCCTTATGGACACTAAACATCAAGTACAGTAACTGCTAACGATATAAAATCCTCATCTAGAAAATCCACAGATGCTGGAACAACAAACTTATCAAAAACATGAGAAGAGAGTGGAGAAGGAATAGGAGCTCAAGAAAGGGCATTCGCATCAGCGATATAACTCCCTAGGCAATAAACAACATCAAAATCATATATCTGAAGCTTCAAAGCTTATCAAGTAGTATGACCAACTAGGTTCTTCCACTTCAATAATGAAGTAACAGTAGTATAATCACCTTTAAGTAACGACCGAAAACTATGTAAAGTTTCTCGAAACACCAGATTGTTGCTAAACACTCCTTCTCTATCGTGGAGTAGTTAATCTCCGTTGGTTGTAATGTATGGTTTATATATGCAATAGGATGGCACTGACATGGCACACTCAAACTCTCTTGCATCAACACATCTCTAAGATGAATGTTAGAAGCATCCATGTGCAAAATAAAAGATCGAGTGTAGTCAGGATATGCCAAAACCAAAGGAGTTGTCAATAGCTCTTTGAGATCCATGAACGCCCACTCATAATCCAGAGACTAAATGAAAGATGACATTGATCACTTCAGCAATACTCACAATAGTGCAGTGCACTCAGAAAGATGATCCACAAAATGACCGAGATATTGCATCTTGCCCAAGAAGCGCTATACATCATTCATACACTTCGGAGTAGGGAATTTTAGAATAGCCACAAGTTTGTCAGGATCAACAAAAAATATGGTACCCAAGATAAGTTGTGTCTTTGGACCCAAACACGCACTTTGACTGCTTCAGCTTTAAACCAACGTCGCGTAGCCGATCCAACACTTTACAAACACTACAAACGTGCTCCTCCCATGTCCCCTCTGAGTGGATCAAGACATCATCAATGAAGTTAGCAGTCACCTTCGGCATATTGCAAAGAACCTCGTCCATCATCTGCTGGAAAGTTGCTAAAGCATTGTTCAAACCAAATGGCATCACCAAAAACTCGTACAAACTAAATTGTGTACAAAAAGCAGTCTTAGAAATATCTTCTTTGGCCATCGGTACTTGCCAGTACTCAAAAGCAAGATCTAGCTTGGTGAACCAACAATTTTGCTCCAGACGATCCAAGAGATCAGTAGTGTGAGGAAGAGGGTACACATATGGGATTGTCACTTCGTTTAATGGACAATAGTCAATGTAGAAAAAAATACTTCTATCAGGCTTTGTCAGAAGATGAGGTTCACATGCCCAAGGACTCCACAACTTCTGAATAATACCCTTCTCCAACATTTCCTTGACGTTTGTATGTAAAATCTTGATCCCCTTGGGTGACCGATGACGAACAAGAACCTTGATTGGATGAGCATCCCCGATTGGAATTCGATGATGTGTGGCAATCTTGGCCTTAGACGATAAGTCAAATTCAAAGAGATTAGAATACTCCTTCACGAGCCAGTCAACCGCTGCAACACAAAGATCATTGGAGGGATCGAAAAAGGGAAAAGCAGAACAAGACGGAAATATAGGAGGAAATAGTGGGGGAATAAAAGTAATGGAAGCAAAAGTAGAAGTAGAGGGACGAAAAGGTACAGAAGTGAGAGGAATGAATGAAATATAAAGAAGTATGAGACAAAAGGGAAAAGCCTCAAAGTCATAATTGACATTATTGCGCTGCAACTAATCTATACCAAGAATAAGGTCAAAAGCTTGACTCGTCACCACCCACAATGACTACAATTCAAGCTCGAGATCCCCCACACACATAACTAGGTCTGCCTCATCCTGTGCACATGCATGTGTACGGCATTGCCATAAAGAATGAAAATTGGTTCTGCCACATGACGCAAGTGTAGACAGCAACGTGTAGTAACAGGTCGAGCAATAGAAGATAAACTCGAATCTGTATCAACCAACATGGAGAGAATAATAGGAGACCTCTTATTATAAAAACGAGCTTGGAAAGTAAACACTGGATGAACCGATGCGATGATACTCCCAAAAGAAAGATGGAGGGGTCACTGACTTATTTACACAAGGTCCCTCCATTACTCATGTGACTCCTTATTTCCCAAATACATCTTGGTGTCTAGACCTTCCAATGCAATAGCACCAATGGGACATTGCTAACGCCAAGATCTCCACCTAGGAAATGGAGGTTGCCAATCCGGAAAACGCCAACAATGCCGACAATGCCAATAAGTATGACCAACTTCATCACACGCACAGCAGCAAATATCATGGCCATGGCCACTCGTCGCCTTTGTCCTTGGACGCAAGCAGCAGCAGCATCAACCTCCATTGGAACAGGACCATCACTCATAGGAAGTGGAGCTGAAGGATGTGCAGCGAGAAGTGGAAAAGACGACATCTCATAACGTTGTGCCAAGTGAAGAACATCGTCAAATGTGGTGGGAGCAAGTGCATGCACAAGTTTGACAAAATCTTGATGAAGTGCTGGCCATAATTGTCGCAAATGTGACTTCAGGTATCGAAAGATACTTGTCGACCAGTCCTTATGGGCACTCTTTCCTTACTGCCATGACGGCAGGAGGTCAATACTGCTGGTTCCCTTTATTGGCCCCTCTTGTCCAAGTGTTAGTAAACTGGACTTAGCATCTGTACTTGGCCGGATGAGCATAAGGACGGAATTCCTAAGTGTCTATTTGGCCAAGCATACTTGGCTCGGCTTTTTAGTTCTCTTTTGCTCTGTCTTGCACTGGTTTGGCAAAAACCCTCGCGTATTGAGACTAGTCCCTCAATATTGCCAGATGATAGCTTATCGTGTTTGCCAAACACCCTCGCTATCAAGCCCTTTGTGTTGATCTCATTTCGGTCCCAAGTGCTATTTATGGAAAGTGTCTAGATTCGCTCATTTGGCATGTCTATGGAATGTAGAGGTCGGCCTGAACACAATGGTGTTCGTCCCGTGTCCAAATTCTCAATTTAAGGCCATTCCATATTTAGTAAGTTTCGAACTTGTCCCAAAGACTAACTCCTGGTACGAAGGGTGGCTTGGGGTGAAAGCC